ATGCAGACGAGTAGGTACGTCTCTTTAACCAAATCTTTGCCTGAATCTGTCAAATGCATACCGGTCTGATGATTTTGTTTGTTCATGTTTCTGTAGAAAGATTAGCATTAAGTTCTGCAATCTCGTTTCTGCTTGCGTTACTCTTTGTTGTCATAAGCTCGGTGTTAGCGATTATCGCACTCGTGCAAGGGAAAACTAAGACTCCGAGACTCTTCCCTGAGCTCAAGAATGGAGGAGTCTCGTTCTTCAATCTCTTCACTGCTTCCCCTGTTATTGTAACAGCCTTCACTTTTCATTTCAATCGTATGAACCAAGAACCAAAAAACCGATTGTTTACTCCACAAATCATGTACTGTTTTTCTTTTCTTGATTCTGAAATTGTGGTGTTTGATTGCAGTACATCCGGTTGGATTCGAGCTCAAAGATCCATTAGATGTGATTTCGGCAACAAAGATCTCTGTAATTCTATGCGCTACGATCTACTCAGCGACTGGTCTCTTTTGTTACCTTCTGTTCGGGGATTCCACCATGACAGATGTTCTAATGAACTTTGATCAAACCTCCAATTCTTCCATAGGCTCGCTAGTAAACGACATTGTTAGACTGAGTTACGCGATTCACCTCATGCTTGTGTTTCCTCTACTCAACTTCTCTTTAAGAGCCAACCTCGACGGACTCTTGTTCCCTAAGAAGCCGTCTTTAGTGAAAGACAACAAAAGATTCTTCGGACTCACTTTCCCATTAATGGTAACTTGTTTCTTGGCTGCGATTGCTATACCGGACATTTGGTACTTCTTTCAGTTCTTGGGATCAACTTCTACAGTCTCAATTGCATTCATCTTTCCAGCCGCAATTGTCCTAAGGTGTGAAATTTAACCCTTCTTGATTAATTCCTCTTCTGATATTCTGAATGTATCAAATTTAAATCAAGTTTTTGGTATCATTTCAAAATTGGCAGGAATGTGAATGGTATCTCGACCTTAAGAGAGAAGATTGTAGCTTCAATAATGCTTGCTCTTGCTGTTGCCACAAGTATCATCGCCATTTCGACAAATATATACACTTTCACAAGAACAGAAGAAACATGAAAAGTTTTCGGCAAGTTCCTTTCTCTTCAAGAATCTGTAAAATGGTAGAGCTTGTAATTGCATTTATTCATATATCTATGTAAAATAGGTTTGTAAGGAGTGTAGTTTAATACCAACTTCAAGAAATGGAATGTTTTGTATTGGAACTTTTTTCCAATACAAAAAGAATGAATCAAAGAAAAAAGTGAACATTTCTTCAAAA